CAGTGGGGTGGAAAACAACCGCCCTCCTGTGGCCCCGCCCCGCCAACGTCTGCAGACTGGGGCGCACTCAGCCATATCCCCAACCGACCGGGACACACCGACAACCGCTGATAGGAAGCCAGAAATGACCCCCGTACCGTCCTCTGCTGGGCCCGGACATTGTTCCCATCCCCTGTTCTCCGTCGCTTAAAATCCCTCCCTTCCAGCCACCAGCGCCCATCTGGCCAGGGTGGTGGCTCTGTGGACGGTGGCATGAGGTTTAGGGCCACCCCGTGGTGGAAGCTTCGCCTCCTTCCGCTGAGGCCGAGCCCGCTCTATGAGGCTGGAGGGGTGGCTCTTGGTGAAGTCTCCTTTCTTTAAGTGGTTCTGTTGACATCTGATTCATGTATCAGACAATCAAATAGTCCAGTCCGATGAAAAAGAGTTGTTTGGGCATCACCACAGCCGATTGAGACCCCTTTTCTTCTCTCTTGGACTCCTTGTTATTAGCTCCACCTCCCCAACCTCCCTCCCTCTGGTAAAGTTTCAAAGAAAAACCAGATGCCTTCTCTCTTCCCTCATTATGGGGGTGCGGGTGGGGGTGGCTCTCGAGCCAGTCAGACCCATAACCAGGTCCATCGACCCAGGGCACCCTGACCACCATCTGTGGAGGGCTTGCCTGCGGCCATCCTTGCCCTTCATCCTCAAGGCAGCTGGACAAGACTGCCTGTCCACACGTCTGTGTGTCTTCTTCTCTCTTTCCCCAACACACAGCCTTTGTCTTTGTAGGACTGACTGCCGCCCACAGTGCCCTCCAAATCCGTGCATGTTGTGAAACCTCCGACGGGGGCGTTGCTGTTCTGTAGGGGCGCAGAGGGTTCCCTTGAGGCGCGCGGGTGGCATAGTGGGCTCTGTGCTGGGCCTACGACAAGATGGGCAGATTGAACCCCATGGAGCAGTGGGTGGTTTCTGGTCTCGGAAGCCCAGAGGGGCCATCCTGCTGCCTCCTGGGGGATCTCAGTGAGTCGGATTCAACCAGAACCAAACAGCAGTCAGTTGGAGTTTTTTGAGTATCCTAGCGTCTGTACGTCCCAGTTTATCCATGCTTCCAAAATGGGCATTTCGGTGGTTTCCATCCTTTGGGTGGGGGGGCGCTGTTATTAGTATACTCACTTTACGGAGTAGTAAGTTGAGGCCCAGAAACGTGCACGCTCGCCCAGATCGAGCAGGTAGCCGAGCGCAATCAGAAAGCAAAGCCTATGGTCCCGAGCCAGCCGCCTCCCGTGGCTGCCAGCCCCGCCCGTGAGCAGCTTGCACTGAGAGGAGCAGAGGTCTGACATAGTCTCCCTCCCCTGGTAACTTAAAATCCCACCCAGGGCTAAGCGTGGAAGCACAGAACAGGACAGAGCATTTGTGCTGAGGGTGAAGTCTGAGCTACCAGAAAAGCCCCGGAGACGCCAGAGTAGTAAGACGTTGTCCTTCAAAAGTGTAAGGA